GAGGAGGAGGAGGAGGAGGAGAGGGTAGTTGGATTGCAAATGTATGTATAATGGACTCTGGGTCGGCATCCAAATGCATAGATTGCATATGGTAACATGTAATTTAGGGTTGGGATCATAGACATTTATATAATAAAGATTACTGAAAACAAGGACAAATACAGTCTTGGATGTGTATACACATAGTAAAGTATAGCGGTACAACAGTTCTCCGACTGAATCGGTTCATAATTAGGCAAATTAAATTGATTATTTATTCTTCGTACCGATTTTATTTTATTCTTCACCAAGTTGACCACGCTCGCTCACATAAATACCGTCAAGAAATTTACGGATATCCTTGTTCTTCACAGAAGTTGATTGTTGGATGTTGGCAGCTGATCGCAATGAGGGTAATAGCAAAAGTTAGCCTATTTACACCGAACTCCAATAGTTTTCTTTTTCCCATCCCACTATCGTTAAACGTTTTTGCTTCTTCCCACCAATTTTACATAACGTCCCTCTCGCCTATTGTACAATCATTCACCCACCTGATTGGGATACGTTTTCCAAGTCATTTCCGCTCAAGGTCAATTCATCCTTGTTTTTGGCAGAGATCTCGATATTCACACCGTCCAACATCTTTACTTTCCGGATGTATTTCTCCCCCAAAAAGTTACGGATGTGAACCTCTCCGTCCTCAATGTTTACATTGATGGGGAAATGGGCATATACATAACGCATTTTGTATTCAAAGCCCTACGAAAAAAAAATATTACATTGTTAACATGACGTTTAATAGAAATGGATTCCGATCAATTGAACGATGAAACGGTTATAGTAGTAGTAATAGTAGTAGTATTTATATCATTCAGTTGATCGACCAGCGTTCCTAGTATACATATACACACAAGTGCAAGAATACTAGTCCCTCCTCTTTCCTGTTCACATAATTTTTATACGAAACCTTGGTAACTCCGGTTATCATGTTCTCGATATGACTTTTCACAGTTCTCAAACACGCAACATGCTTTCTACGTCCATGCCAGACAATCAACTTTATGGTATTCTTATCGGTCTTTCGTATCTCCAAATTAATATGTCTCAGATTCTTTGTCAACTGTCCCC